GTATTATAATAAATATTATTTAAGAGGTACCAAATTTAATAAAATTAATAAAATATGTAGATATGTCATTACCATGACGTTTAATCTGTAGTTTTAAATACTCGTCAATATACTAAGTATTTTATTTAAAAAATGTAATTATTCGACATGTTATATTACATGCATTAATGTATACTTTATTGATTATACCAATTCTTTAGGAAAAATGTATTTAAGCATATTTTAATTTTTTGCCATAATCCTAAAGTATTCACTAAAACTCACTGTGGAGTTTTAAAGTTATTATATTTAACTGTATAATTTCATGATTAAAGTTTATTTTTAACGAAAAATGGTATCTACTTATCCAATCATTAAACTCTAATATTTAAAATAAAAAAAAAAAAGGTATGTTAATCTATGAAAGTTATTTTATATTATATTATGAACGTAGGTATTTACGTATAATGGTGTAATATTTTAGGTACACATAAATTTGAGATGAGTATATAAACATGATTTTTTACAAAAAACTGTTAATTTAAAATTTAGAGTTTATTTATAACTTTTCCCCCATTTTATGGGCGCTTTATAATGATGTTATTTTTTTAAATAATAAAAAAGACATACATTTAACATCATTAGAATTTACAATTTGACAAAATCAAAAATATAATTTCATATAAACTGTCAAACAAGTTATAACTTGATTTAAAGTTTTACAAAAAAAAAGTGTTAGGAAAATTACTATAACTCTGAAATGCAAATCGTTTACTTTAAAAATGTAGGAATGTGTTTATAGATGTTAGCAAATTTAATAATAGCTATAAATAATGAGTAATGATGACATTTATTTTTTTTTTTTTGAAATACTTAAAATATTATTGTGATTTATTATTTGACTTGTATAGAGCCAATATAAAATTATCTGTGACCGCAACGTTGTTTGTAGCGTGACCCTAGATTATTCGGTAGTATTGATGTTGCGTTGTAGCTGAAAATGAATATCGCTTGATGTAAATTGAATATAAAAGGTTAATTACACTACTGTAATTGTTCTATTATAATATACTTTTTCAATATAAAATCATCTACCACTATACGATCTATTTAAGTATTCTTTTTTTACATTTTTAAACTTAATTTGTTAATTTGTTAAGATTAATTATTTTGTAAAATAGAATAGTGTAAATATGCTAAATTCTCAAGATGGTACAGTCTCTTAATATATATATTTTTTAATTATAATCAATGATACAATTTAGTTATACCTATGTAGTAGAAACTAGAAAGTTAGGAAAAATATATTAGGCGTATATATAAAAATAAAGTAGGTATACAGATGTTTGACTGAATCCAAACGGCCGATAGTCATATGGTTGAGTGTTTTAGCCAACAAGGTCAAAAGGTCAACATGATGAAAACTCATAATTATTATAAACTATCAACTCAATAATATTTTTAACTCAGAAATAATTAATTATGTCCACAGTGTTATCTTCTATAAAGGTTTTACGTTTAACCACAGATTATTAATTATATATTACATTCAAAATTATAGCCTGTTGATAAAATTGTAATCTTATGTAACAGTATTTATCTACTATCGTGAACTGCAGTGATATCAATAATTATTGTTTGTGGTGGTTATCCACCAAAATTGGTGTTTTGTGAAATGTAAAAATAAAATTCAGATACTAAATGCAAAATCGGGAGTATAATATAATATATTTGATTTCATTAGATTGAAGTACTAATATTATAATTTTACACTGTCGCGCGCCAGTTAGTTGTAGGTCGTTTTCAATGTTAGTTATGACCTTTTTCACCGATTGTACGTACGCGTACAGTTGACTCGGTCCACTGTCTCACCTCTCCTATGAACGAATAAGGTGGTAAAATTGAACGAGATACAGTGTTTATGTATAAAATTAGCGATTAATAGGAAAGAACAACGGTGATCTGCTGCGATGTTTGTGCTTTTTACTCGTCATTGCTACGGACTGTGTATCTACTGATGCATACTTTATGATGTACGACTGTAAAAGTAATCTGATTTGTTGTTTCACGTTGTACAAAATAGCCTATATCATCGAAATTTGAAAAAAAACTTTAAATATCAAATTCTACTTTATAATTTGTACATAATTGTTATACAGAGTCGGGATAGGCCAGACGATGTAGGAGCGGATCCGCATAGGCTTAGAGACTTCGGATTTTTTTCCAAGTACCTACCTACCTACTTTCACATGAAACTGGATCTTCGATAAAAAAATAAAATCTATGACATTTTAAATCTTAAATACATGTTACTTTTATAAAACGTATTAATTTATACTAAATTACAAACATTTTATATAATTGAGTGGTGGACCGGAGTCTACAGAGAATGAAAAATATTGTTGAAAACTCCTTCCTCTCTTTTTCAATCCAGAAAAAATGATACAATCCTGGTTAGAAAAATTTTATCTACATAAAAATGTTTATATTAGTAGGATGACTTAAATTAACAAAAGTTACAAATAGCGAATTTTTTATGACTTACTGTAAATCACTTAAATTATAATTAATTATTAACAGATTTTTGAAAGTGATACTTTTTAAACCGTATAAAATATGTCTCTGTGTAATAAAATATTTTTATAAAACTATATGATATATTTATACTTAATGTGATTTATTTATTATTTTAATTTTTGTAAATATAGGTACTACGTAAAATTTACTTATTAATATGTAATATTTGATCATATTTTTTCTGTTAACCTATAATAGAATTATCGACATTTTTATTTGATTTGTTGATTATTTTTCCTGAACCTAAAATCATGGTTTGATTGTTCTTATTACTTAATATAATAAAGTTAAATACCTCAAACACTCACTTGAATTTCGATCTAGATAAATAAATATTTTCAATGAGATATTTATTTACAGAAAAGAAGGATAATTATAGTCTGAAAAAAGAATATATGTATCTTAAAATGCTATTGACGAGTTATAAGCCATATTATAAAATTATTTCTAAAGGTGTTTTTGCCTTGAATCTATTGTGCAACACAGCAAATTTGCTTTCAGCATAAAGAATTTCGCATTATTATCTTTAATAAAGTGAATCGACCTTTAATAAAACTTAAAAGTGAAATCATTTTCAGAGGTATTATATTTTACTTATTGAACAAGTTATAAATGTTATGATTATTTTTAAATTATAATATTTTAAGTACTACTAAAAATAATTTTATATACAATCTGTGATGTTTTCAGAATTTAAGATTATAAAGCAAGTTTAATATGTTTAATCTATAAACTGAAATTTTAACAATTTAGTCATTAAGTGAGTCAAATTTTTATTTTTCATTAATAAAATACAGAAAAAATTCAGTATTTATTATTATTGTGTTTATGTAGCTAATATGTACTTATTAATTATGAAAAATGAAATTTTATGGTTTCTTAAAATTTAGAAAATCTTAAAAAGCACTATTAATTAAACTCTTTAATAAGAGGTTAAAGTTTTAATGTATTAGTTTTACGATTTATGACAATAATATATTTTTTATAAATACATATTTTTAGTTGTTATAATATCTTTGGTTTGAATAATAGGTTATTAATTTTTTTTTATATATTTATTATTTTTCGTTTGCATTGATATAATTTCTAATTGATGGATCTATAGTGATGAAAAAATAAACTTTACATAGTGACCTTGTTAAAGTGAAAGTACATAATTTAATATAATACCATTATGAAGAATTTCATAAAATAAAAATAAAAATAATAACAAATAAAAAATGTGGTTTTAATCAAAACAAATCTAATCATTAAAGTTATCATAACTATAAAAAATATTATTTTTTCATTATCAATATTTATTTTTTTTTTGTGATCACTTGACATTTGAAAACTTTTTAAAATAACACATATATTGTTATTTTAGATTATTAGTAATAATTATTAATTATTATTAGTATTTGTTTGTAAAGAATTAAGCTAAGAGAGATAATTACCAACTACCAAGTTAGATTTAAAAAAATATTAGAGTAAATAAATAAAAAAAAATATATATATTGAAAAAATGTTTCAAGTAATAGTTAAATAATTATTTATTAAATATTTAAAAGCTACCCCAACTACGTAATTATTTTAGTATAATTATGTTTATTGTATATGGTTTTTAAAATCATAATTTACATATTTGTTTATATTTATTTTTTTCTTATCTTCATAATTATTATATTATATATTAGTGTATTTTAGACATTTAGAAAATTAAGTATTGTAAATTTATAATAATTTTGATGACTAAAGCTCGAAACTCAATGCACTTAAAAAATATTAAAAATGTATGAATTTATGCGCTGATAATAAAATAAATATGCTTTGAAAATATATACTTACTTTTTTTTCTATTCACAACTGTTTTAAAAAATAAAAATATTTTAGACAAATACATTTTTGTACTAAATATTTATTTATAAACCCGGAAATTGTATGGTTACTAGGGATTTGAAAAACATGATACTATAATGCCTACTGAAAACTTTTAAAATAAATGTATATTTTAAAGTTTTTTTTTTTTATTTGCTAATTGTATCATTTATTAATCATTAAATATACTCAAAAAAATAGTAAAATTGAAAAATATATCATCTTAAGACTACAAAATCACTAAATATGCTAAATTTTCGTTATAAATTTTTAATATTTTTTTTATTTTCATAGTGTCATGATATTTATTTTAAGCTTATTTAACAATAAATCTAATATCCCAAAAAAACATAAAAATTCAATAACTTCCGAACCCTATTCATAACACTTGCACCAAATTTATTTTTCTTAAAAATTTCTAACTATTATATTTTAAAAAGATACATGGAATCTTGGAAAAATCCAATTGGTAACTGTTTAACTGAATGTTTTTGTTATATAACAATCCGGTTTACAGTATTTACGCACCTATATAACGATGTAGCGAGTGCTTTTTTATCAAATACGGAGTTATAGCCGGCAAGACATGACGTGATAAGTTGATAAATGTAGCGTGTTATTCGTATTAATATTTTAGATCCAGAAAATTTTAAAAGAGTACTTCGTAAGTAGATTATAATTGTATTTTCGTGTTTTATATGAGTATTAGAAATATCATTTATAAATATTTATTTTTTGATCTAAATGGTATAATAATATTAATCAGTTATATCTATAAAATATACTAATATTAGAGAGAAGTATAAAATTGTATTGCTTAAATTTAAAATTGTCTTTATTAATAATTATTTTGTTGAAAAATATAATTCTGGGGTGAAAAACATGTACTTTTCAAAACTATTAATTAAGAATTTCATTTAAAAAAAAATATTCGAGTTTAAAGTATAAACATAATAAAATTTATTGGAAGGATTGTAGAATGTTTGCCCAAAGGCCACGTAGTTTTTGATATTTCAAAACAGTGTTAAAAATAAAAAAAATTGGTACTAAATTAAAATTAAAAATAACGGAATTATTTTAATTCACAAAATTATTATATGACTAATTACCTAGTAATTTTTAATATTTAATTATCAATTGAAATATTACGATCGCTAATGTTTAATACATTAATAACGATAATTATTAGTTATTACGATTTTCACCAATTTTGCTGATATTTCAAAAAAATAATATGTATATTGCAAACACAAGTTAATAACACAGTAATTGTTTTTATAAATTATAATGATTTTGTTATATTTTACCATGACATTATAATTTTATGTTTACTTTTAAAAGTTAACCTAAGTTTTATTGAATGAATGGAATAAAATAAGAAAATAAATATTGTATTTATCTACAATTCCGGACAATTATTTATATAACATTTAATTACATTTTAAGATTGGAAAAAATGTTAAGATATTTGTTTAATCTTAATAAGTATAGACATTTAGGTTAGGTTAGGTTAGTTATACCACATTTTAGACATTAATTTATGTTAACTAGAGATGCCATCCTCCAAATATAATATTGACCAAGGACTTAGTAGAATTTATAAATTCAGTCTTATAATGTTATATATAAATAAAAAGAAAAATTTGAATTTTTTAATTAAAATATAGATAAAGAACGGTTATCTAATGTTTTAAATAATTTACATTATAATTTTTTTATGATTTATTCCAAAATTTGGATGTGTACAATTAAATGTTTGATTGTTTGTTGTAATAATATAAGTTGTAATACAAAATTATTGAATAACATTTTTACATTTTGGTTTCAAATTTTATTATTATTTTATTCCACGTATTTAATTCATTTATTGGTTACAATATGAAATGTAGATATAAATATATATTATATAGATAAAAGAGTTAACAATATACTTAGATTGTTGAACTCGTTAGGAAATATAAATTTATTTAATAGTGTCTAATATATTTGTATACTTGTAAATTTATGTAAATATTAATTGAAAAGTAGAATAATTTGTGATAAACTTACATTTTTACATGTTTGGTTTAGTGATATAAATACATATCACTTTATTAGTTATCAGAGTTTTAAGTATTTTAATATTTAAATTTTGAATTATTAATACGTTTATTAATGCACGTATATTTTTAATCAGGCACTACTCACCGTATAATAGCTGATAATATTTTATTTTTTATTCAACCTAAACACAAACCGGAAATTCCATCTGAAATTGTTTTCCCAAATACTGAAAAGCCGTGATACATATTAAAGTTGCACGCCACCAACTGAACAATTCATAAACATAGTATTTAAAAATGTATAAGAATTAATGACGATTAGTTGTTAGTAGTCAGTGCTAGTCAGAGATGAACGTATTAAATCACATAAAAGTAGGTGGCAGTCTTAGATAAGTTAATACAAGGTATTATAAAACATGTATCATTTTTGTCTAAAAATAGGTTATGTGTTTTTTTTTAAATTTTAAATTTTAAAAATAAAAATCTTTATAAAATGCATTTTATCTTATAATTTATTAACGTAAGTATTTATATACTATTGTAATTTTGATAAACGGTATGATGATTAACAAGCAATAAATAAAAGTTTAAGTATTAACATAGTGAAAATGTTGACAAAATAAAATAAATACAGTCTCGTCCAAATTTGACCTTAAAGCAATTAAGCAATAATAATAATAATATGAAGATGATTATATTAATTTATCATGAAATATATTTTTAATATTATTACTGTATAGTTATAATTAATGCATTTAATATATGTACCTTCCAAGGTCCAATACGAATATCATCTTTAATTTTATTATATTCTTAAAATATAAAATGGAATTTTCCTTTTTTTTGTAGTGTGTCAAAAGTCATGGAATTTTAAATTCTAACGTGAGCGATAAATAAAATAAATGCTCCAATTTTTAACGTTGAGAGATTTTAAGTATTAAATTGGATCTAGTTTATACATTAAAGAAGTGAAAATTAAATATACTCAAAAACTTTCAAAATAATCTAGAATATAAAAATAAGGAAAAACAGCAATTTTTACGCAAATAAAGTTTTTTTTGTTTTGATTTTTTTTTATTACCTCAAAAACGGATAACCGTAGACTCTTGGATTACATTTTCACCAAATGTTTTTTATATATGATAATATTATGACTATTTTTGAACTATTTATTAACATGAGAAATTGTCAATTATTTTTAATTTTTTTTTTTCTTTAAATGTCGATAAAAATTATTCACTGGGTCAATTTTTTTGAAAATGTAATACAAGATCCCACATATGTTGCTCTTATTTATCCATAAAATAATATTAAGAATTAATAGTCACATTTTTTTTTGTTTTTGTTTTAAATGCATTTGAAGTTAGAATGTTAACAAAATTCATCAAAATCGCAAAACAATATTATAACTATTTTACAGTAAAAAATTTATTGCAGTTTTTATTTTTATATGAATTTTTTGAATTTAATACAAGATTTTTCAATGGTAGTTAATATTGCAAACGTAAAATTTAAAAAAAAATATATATATATATTTTTTTTTGCATAATATATAGTAAAATTCATATTAGTGTAATAAATATAATTTTTAAGTCTTCATGAGTTATATTTTTGAATTATAACAAATAATTAACATCGTTATTTAGCATAGTCTTTATATATATATATATATAAAAGACTAAAAATAAGACTTAAAAATTATATTTATTACACTAATATGAATTTTACTATATATTATGCAATATGAAATTTTTAATTTATTTTATGATATTATCTATTTATACTATAACCTATTTGTCCTATTTTACGGTAATTACAAAAACGTTATTAGATTTGGGTTATATATTAATATGTAGTTGATTAAATATGGTATTAATATATATTATTATAATAATTAAATACTAATAAATAATAATTTAATGAATGCAATACTTAAGGGAAAAATTGTATCAATCTGTGACAGACTATTTCTGCTCAAAATCGGTTTTCGTTATATCATTGAATTCAAATTTAGCATATTTACTACAGTGACCCACTCATCAGTCGTCACTTAGTACCATAAAATAGAACGGTTATAATTTTTATATTATGGAAAAATATCTTAGATTTTTAAATTTAAAACATTTTTCGTAGAAAATTATATATTGTTGATTATTAGAAAATCAAAAGTAAGAAAAATTTATTACTTTCTTAATAATTAGAACAAAATACAAAGATTAATTCGTAAATCCGATTATTATTGATAAATGATGATATTACTTTTGTTTATTTTGTTATAGGTACCTAATTTAAAAACAAATATCTATAGATAATTAAAAATTTTACCAAGTACTTAAATCAGTATTATTATAAACATAGTAGAATTTTTAAATATTTTGAATATTTTTCAATAGTTATTTTTTTTAATAATAAATATTTTAAATTTTCGATTTTATTTATCAAAATTTATGCTCAGTTAAAAAGCTATGGACATTTATATTTATTATAATTTAAAAAATAAAGTTAAGCTTTCTTTTATTTTTAATACGCATATTTTATGCAAGCTATAAACCTGGTTTGAAACTATGCATTTTTAAGATAACCTGTTGTTTAAAATTACCGTATACTATTTTAAGTATACAAATGTATACTTTTTATGTACTTCAAATGTCGCCATTTGTTCAAAGTTTTAAGTAATATCGTTGGAGTTAGGCAAGCAGATTTACGATGTATAACGTGTTAGTACCTACAGGTTTCGACAATTTATGCAAAGAGCTATTTAAATTGAAGTCTGTTATATCATAATTTTACTTTTATGTATATGAATCTAATAAATTACAGTCGCGTGCCAAAATTCGAATAAAATTATTTAAATATTACACCTGCATGTTGTGGTTAAACAAAACTAGTAATAATTCTTCTACTATTAGGAACATTTTTACAATTATTACCAAATAAAAATTGAATTATCAACATAATACAATAATACCCATAATTACATATACATAATTCTTTTTTTTAACTTTGAATTAATAATATGTAAATTTAAAATTGCAGTCAGCCGCAGATCACCTTAGGTATTTAATCTTATTTTCTGTTTTATAATTACCAAGTAATGGTGGAATTTAAATTGCTTTTAAAAATAATTTTAGTTGTTGACACAATAAGTATATTGATTCTACAAAGATAAAATATGTGTTGATAATGAAGTTGATTTCTATATTTTGCTAAATAATTCAACAATAAATAACCATTGATATTTGAAATAAAGTGAAACATCCCTTAACGGACACCTCTAAATAGCGGACACCCCGAGTAGCGGACGTTTTTATGAGGACGGGGACATTTTAACCACTTTTATATAGGTAAACACATAAATATCAGACACTTTTATACAATTTAATTTTGATTCTGACAATTTTTATCATAAATATAGAATAATCTTGTAAAAATAAACCTTGCGAAAGCTGAACACATGACAAAGCACGGAGGGTGGCTCGCCAGACGTAAGGTAGATCAAGATTGCCGATTATCATCGTTAATGATGTAGATAACTATTGGGTCGTGTGTATGTCGATCAATACACAGAATACTTCATTGTTCTCCAACGCAGTTGAATTAGAAAATGCATATTAAGAATATATATATTTGATATATGAAATAACTACGCATCAAAAACAAGCTAAAGTAACCGATTTTTTTAATAAATGTTAATTTTTGTTTTAAAATTATTTTGTTTGCATACATAATATCTACATAATATCATAGTTTTATATCATTATATTAATAATACAAAAATACAATTATCATTATAATAAATTTTAGTATTGTATAAATAATAAATGTTGTACACATTTAATTATTGATTTTTTCCGAATTATTTTCAAAAATTTACCCATTTCTTTCACGCCCTCTAAATAACGGACACCTCTAAATAACGGAAAAAATTACGGCGACCGAGAGTGTCCGGTATTTAGATGTTTCACTGTATTCTATTCACCAAGTGTTCATATTAAAATTTTTCATTTATATCTTTTTATGCTGTTTATAAACAATTAGATTTTTTTATTTCTATAAATATCAATAAAAAATTTTTCTCTCATTTAATAAACTTTAACATTTATAAAAAAGTTCCTCATAAATTGTTATTAATATTATTAATATTAATATACATTTTAAGAATAGGTGACAATAAATTCACAAAAAAATGTTAATAGGTACTGGATTAGAATTTAAATTTTTAGGTATTATATAATATACAAGTAAACCTAAAATCAACTATTTCTCTTCATACGATTTTTATTATTTTGTTGTAAATCATAAAATATTACTGTTGGTATTTAAATTTGCACCTAATGTTTATATCATAATCCTCTATAGACTATAGATTACATATTTTTCAAAATATTTTGACGATTTTTGAGCTATTACAAACATGAGACATTTTTGGTTCATAAATGGTGATTAAAAATTATTTATTGGGGTAAAATTTTTAAAAACAATAAAAGATTCCTAAAAAGTTGTTTTATATCTGTATAAAATGAAGATAATAAATACATTGGTTGAATGTTCTTCATAAATAGTTCATATACTGAAACTGAAATATTTGGAATATATATATATATATATATATTTGGCAAACTCCTAGTTCAGAGTGGATTGTATTGTTGTTATAATTTTTGGTTGATAGTTTATATAGTTGGTCCTCGTGGTACCTACTGTATGCGTACTGACTGTATCAGTACTTAAATTGGTATATTTTCAATATTAAACTAGATATTAATTTTTAGTTGTCTAAAAAAAAAAAAAAAATCAAAATTACATATTGATTTTTATTTTACAATTTAACTTGATTTTTTTTTTTTTTAATACGAGTAGATTTACCCAACAAAATAGATTATTTTATAAAATAATCTATATAATGTATATAATGTAATAACATAAAAAATAAAAAAACAAGAAATATAAAATTTAAATGGCTAAACGGTAGCTGAGTCTTGAATAATACCAAGATCTGGAGGTTTTTCCTTGCACTTATTTTATTATTATTTTTTGTTTTTTGTATAATAAAATAAGATTCCTATCCTTGGCTATTTGCATCTATTGGTATTTAAAAATGTACATTTTTAGCGGGAAATTATTGATTCCACTGAAACTAGCTGTTAAGGAAAAAAGGTTTGTATCATTTCCGCCGGCTATTAATTTTGTCGGCTACTGTTAATAATATTTACACATCGATTTCGGCCGGACACTGTTTATTCCCCTTCCATTGTATATGTATTTTAAATATAATGCAGAGATTTTCAAACTTTTTTAGTTTACGTCATCCTAAAAATAAAAATAATAAATTGTGCATTCTATGAATAAATAAATAACAAATTTATAGTATTTAATTATAGGAATAATTTTATTGTTATGACAAAATTAATCAAAAATAAATATTATTAAATTTCTATTTAAAATATTATGAAATTTTTAATGTTTATGAAAAAAAAAATAACAATTACTATTAATATTAATATTTAATCTTAATGCCAACAATGTGGTTAAACATTGGCTGGATGTAGTAACTTTCCAAAAATTTCTAAATCATGACGTATATAATACACTTACAAGGGAGGGATAAACAGTAGCCAGCCAGTGGAATAAATATGCAAATATTATAAAGGATAGCCGGCGGAATCGATGTACGCCCATTATTAGCTATTTGAACATGATTAAAATTAAAACAAGAATTATAAATAGTGAAATAGAAAAACTACTTACTAGTTATCTACAATATATAGTATATACAATTTATGATTGTTAAGTCAATTGACGTAATTATATTTATAATCTAAATATCCTACACTTATAAGTGCTGGATAATTTAATGATTAATTGCATAGGTACCAGTTACAAATGTTAAATTCACACTATTATATAACACTTTATGTAAGTATATAACTTTATATATATTATAATATATGTATAATACGACAATATAAGAGCCGTTGCCTTATTTAAGTCTAAAATATTATACGATATTGGCTTTCTTATATAGTTATATCTATATGATATGATATTATGTTGTTTAATAAGGCATAAAAGTTTTCAAATTGTCAAATACTCAAATTCTTGATAAAAAACAGTAAAAAAAAAAGCATGAAAATTGAACATGATTAATAATTCTTTAATTTTGATACGGTTCCAGGTGAGTAAGAGTATGATATATGTGAATACTGTTCGAAAATCGCAACTGTAAAGATGAACAAACACCAGGAAATGGAGAGTCCGCCGATTTCCAACTCTGATGCGGATGAAAACGGATGGCAAAAAATGAGCTTTATGTCCAAGGCGGCGTTCGTGGCCCGAAACGTGTCGGTAGAACCAATGTTGGGCGTCTTTCAGCTTTCCATGATTATGTCGAGTTTGACCACACAAAACCTGAACATGCAAAAGGCTTGCCGAGTGAACTTAAACCTGGACAATACGGTGTGCTATGCTCTGGAGAACAAAAACGCCTTATCATATCCGGACGAAGAGGTGACAGTGCAGAAACTAGTGGCCAAGATGATGCTATGGCAGAGCCTCTTTCAGAATATGGTGCCGTGCATTCTGGTGATGTTCGTCGGTTCGTGGAGCGACCGGAACCGGAAACGTAAGCCGTTGATGCTGTTACCTATTATCGGTGAAATAGTGCGCAACATCGGCTTACTCGCTTGTGTGTTTTTCTTTTACGAGCTGCCGATGGAGATAGCAGGTATCATCGAGACAGTCCCATCAGCCGTTACTGGTGGTCTACCGGTGTTGATACTAGCAGTGTTCGCGTACGTGGGGGACATAAGCACGGTGAGTTTATAGCGAATTTTACGATTGCTCATTTCACATTATAATTAAAGCTATTAAGTTTTTGTCTATGTATACTTACATAGTTACATCTCACGTACACGAGTAGTTGATAATACCATTGATTATGTAAGATAATCACTATTTACAGAAAATTTGTGGACGAATAATAACATCTATTACTATTAAAATAGTTTATCATTGTTGAGCTATCATACTTTAATACTAATGGCTATTAAAAATAAAATATATATAAGTATATTATAATAGTGGCAGAAAATTGTCAGTTTTTCAATTTTTAGTGATTGTTTTAAAATTTTATTTTTAATAAGTAATTTGTTCAAGAATATAGTTATTTACTCGAAAAGCACGCGTAATATTATTATAATTAAATTTTTAAAAATTCTAAAAATTTGAATAATATTAGGTACCTACCAACAAATATAGTTTTGATATTATACAGAGTATAATATTTATTTTTATATTGGGTATTTGTGTTGTGGAATTTTTTTCAGCTATAGTTTTCTTGCAGTCATATGTATCATTGATATTTTATCATAATGAATACATATAGGTATGAGGAAAAAATTATGCTCTTGTGAGTGATTTTGTAAATATTTCTAATTATGCGTCTTTTGCAGGATAAAATATGTAGTCATGTGATTCTTTTTATTTTAAAATCTATTAATAGTTTTGAATATATTATTTTTACATAATTTTCAGTCAAAATAACATTTTTAAAATTTTTAATATTTTTTATCGTTACACTTTTTTTAAGATTTTTACTTTTTTGAATGAAAATACACAATTTTAATTTAAAAAAATAATACTTTTTGAAATATTTTGATAAATAAAAATTCAAAATTTGGACTTGGAGTTTATGGGTCATAATTGTTATGAGAATTTAAAATTTAGTTGAGCGAAGTGGAGAGACAAGAGGATACCTTGCAAAATGTGTGTTACTACTCCGTTTACCTAAATAACTGAGTACTTATAACTCATATACTACACGTCCGAATTTTTATTTTATATATCGAATTATTTTGTAAAATATTTTACTTTAGACTATGAAATAAAATATGTATATTATCATTCAAAAATTAAAAAAAACTTAACAACATATAACAATAAAAAATATTAAAAATGTTGTTTTATTTCGAATAAAATTGATTATGTTAATAAATTGTTATCAAAAACGTTAATACTTTAAAAAAATAATGAGTGTTGTTTGGTAAAAGAATCGTAATAATCTGTTTGAAAATAAATTATGTGTATAAAAATATTTAATATTAATTTGTAAACAATATAACATGTTTTTTAATCCGTACAATTTTTAACTTGTATATTATAAATCGTTCTAGGTTGAAAATAGAACAGTCCGTGTCGGGCTTGTGAGTTTATTTTTTTCGATCAGTATTACCTTTGGATCAGCATTATCTGGCATCGTGTTTCGAGATTATGGTTTTTACGGAGTGTATGTAGTATCCACTGCATTGTATGTGTTCAGCTTCATATACTGTATAATTATCATCAAAGATATTAAGCCTGATGTAGACAAATACCACGATCAACATATTATTATTGATCATTGCAAAAAATCACTTTTTCTGAAGATATCCGATTTCTTTAACTTAAAACATGTAAAAGAAGCGATTCGAGTTACATTTAAACGAAGAAATGACGATAACCGAAGAATGGACATAATACTGTTGTTTATTACCATGGTTATTATATTGGGTCCTCTGAGCGGTTTGTATAAAAAAAAAAATTATTTTATAATTACGCGTGAAATATATAAATGCCATTAAACTATGTGTAAATTGAAAACGATATGCAAATAGACAAAATCTAAGTACATATATTTTTTTTTACGAATGTATAATTTTTTTAAACTATATAAGTTACCTCAATGTTGCCTGATAGGAAGGAAATGTTATTATAATACATGTTACCAAAGAAAATTATTGAGAATCTGAAATAAATATTTACCAATAAAAATAAACTATTTTTCGTTAATTTAGTAAATAAATCTTCAATAGATTAAAATAATACACAATATACATATACCTATAACGAGGACATCACACTCGCATGAGTTGTCTTCGTCTAACAAATGTACAACATCCCAAATTTGCATTCGGTACAAGTTCATAGGTGTGCGCAGATTTCAATTTCCCGTTGAGCCTAGAACAATTTTTAATGCCCCAATACTTGAGCAGTGCCCCTATTTTGGTTTTTAACACATTAATTTACATTCTAATTGTTAATTAAAAACTGTGTAAAAAGAATCAAATTGTATATGCACACAACATTAATATGCTAATTTATAGACATAATATAAAATTATATAAATATAATCATACATTAAAAGAATAAAACACAATACCCAAAAAAAAAAAAAAAAACTTAGTTTAAATAAATTTTATAATGTATAGTTATAATTTTATTTATAATGTTAGAGATTGCTCAAAATTGACCAAATATTGAAATTTATTGAAAATTGTTTTTGTCATAATTTTTTCGCGTAATTAAATAAAGTGTTCTTCAAATAAAGCGTATGTGAATTAATGGATGTAAAAATTCGTTTCAGGTGAACAACCTTTGATGTATTTGTTGGTCCGAGTCAAATTCAGTTGGAATGAAGTAGACTTCAGTGTTTTTTCCACGTATTACTTTATTTGTAATCTCGTAGGTAAACTTAATTGATATTATTATGCTTACTATCACATTCTAGTAAACTATATTTTATACTGTTTTTCGTTAAACCTAGCATTTTGGTCTAATAACGCAAATTTTGTTGTCACGAATCTATATTTGTGGAATACAACTAGATTAGGATTTTACATATAAATCTCTACGGATGTCGTACTATTTGTGTAAGCCAATCTCATTGCTCCTTGTACGTAAATCATATAATTATCAAAGCACGGGCAATAGAACTACAGACAATTGTAGTTAGAATACATTTTAAATTTAACCAGTACATACTTCTCAAGCATGAGCGTAACTTCTGTCTTAAAATTTTTGATCATTATAAAAATTTTTTAAATGTGTTATTATTACTTAAAATAAATTAACTATAACTAATCGATTTAACTTATTTATACCATCGTTCTGTGCGACTTACTCTTCAACCACCAACCTAACAACGATGCGTCTTGTATTTTATCATTAATAATTAAGTACACAATTGTAGCACGAGAGTATTACAGTTTAATATTATACAGTTTAACTATAGGAAACAGTCGTAAATGGCTTATAATAAATTTGTGTTATTAAATTTCAGGTATTGGATTTACATTGTGGATTTTTGTTAACCGTTTGGGTATTGATGACAGATTGATAGGAGCAATTGGATGTCTGAGCAAAGGATTGGCTTCTTTCGTTTATGCCTTTGCACCGACCGAATTCTTATTCTATCTTGGTGATTATATTATGCTTGATATATCACTTATAATAATAAGTGATATATATAAATATATTTATATGAATAAATGATAATATTATGCGTGTACTTAGTATAGAAAATACGATTTGAGGATATATTTTAAAACTAACGTTATATATCAATATACTTATTTCAGGTCCAATTGTCGACATATTTCACGGTACAGCACTTGTTGCATTTAGAGCGATACTCTCGAAACTTGTTCCTGCAAACCAACTCGGTATTAAATTAATTAAATCTATAGTTATGAATTAAATCTTACGTGTCACACGTAATGTTATTATTTTTTAAACATATACACCTACTTAACTGTTCATTTTTGATATCATATCGTATGCAGGTCAGGCGTTGGCGGTATCTTCACTCGTCGAAACCATAATTCCTGCAATATTCAGACCGTTATACAGTGTGATATATTATAAGACACTACACTTTATACCTGGCGCATTTTACTTGTTTGGAGGAGTGCTTAATCTTTTTGGCATCTTTGTTTTTTTGTAAGTAAACTGTCTCAATGCAATACAATTTAAACATAAGTAATCACAATTGTATTTTTAAGACATAAAATGGAATACGCATCAATGTGTAAAGTGAGATTTAATATTAATGTATTCAGGACTTGACATTCAAAATCAACCGAAACTAAAATAAAACATTCTAAACTTTTAATTATTCCAAAGCTCTAATTTCATTTTTTATTTTACAAACTTCATATATTAGATCATTTTGTTTGTATTTTGTGTGGTTAGTTGTTTAATATAATAACAAACTATTAATAAGAATATTTTCGCAATACATTTTAGGTAAATATAAAAAAAAAATATTTTTAAAATAACTTTAAAATAAAATCCAATTTTATCTTATCATTTTGATGAAAGACTATAAAATCTAGATACATTATTCAGAGGAATAATAAAAAAAAAAAAAAAATGGGGAAGTAAAATATAGGTAAATAAAACAAGGGAAATCATTTTAGGAAAAATATACCTATGTACTTAAATAAGTAACGTCATGAATGTTCATAGAAAAATAATAACCAGAAAAATATCATAGATACATTAGGAAATAATATATTTCATAATCGGTGTAAACTAGTTGAGGTAAAAATTAAAAATTACATACTAGTTGTGGTCACTCAATAAAAAGTTAGATTCTAGTTGCGGTCACTCCGCATAATCAGCAATATTACAGTATAATTAAAGTTTTTAAAAATTTGTGGGTACAAATTTGAAAGAAATCGACTTCACATATTCAATTCGATTAATTTCACCCTCTTCATAATATCGTATTTGTTGCGCTAGAAAATTTACTTTCTCAGTTAAAATCTTAGTTATTCACTAATGTACGATAAAAACGAAATTTATAACCATTTATAACTCGTAGTGTTTTTAATTTTTTATTCAACATATTACTGTGCGAACTCATTTTTACCGCATCGAAAGACGTAGGCATACTGAATGTTATATTCAAGACTTCGATCGGACTATATAATTGTATCTATTTTATATTTAAACTTTACAGATAAGTATTCCCACATATATACGAGGTGTATAATATATCGAAAAATATGTTTATGATAAAATCGACATGATCGCAACTAAGATATTACATACAATCGGCGCGACCGCAACTGTTATATCTGCTTATCTGAAAAATCGTCAATGACTGCAACTAGTATGCAGCCTTCATAATATAATAACTATGTAGGAGTATTACACAGGCAATTCCTTGATAAATTTTTACTTTAATTAAATCAAATCAACTAATAGAAATATTATATTTTTTCTTAAAACTATGATTTATTACTTTATAAATAAATCCTAATATAGTCAATAGCAATATAAATATAAACGTGTATGGTCTGATGTCAACAACTTATATATGTGCTGATAATAATCAATTACTAGAAATATCAATACATCATATTTTATAGTACCTACTTACCTATTTACAGTGACAATGTCATATGGGTTACTATTTAAAAAAAAAATAGTAAAAAGTAAGTATAAAATGTATTAAGGTACATACATTTATATAAATAACAAGAACTTCTATGCCTCCAATAAAACAAATGTCTGTCTCATTTCCGGTTTTTGTAGTTCTTGTATCTTCTTTAAAAAATAAAATTACTTGAAATGAATAAATCAATTATGGTTAGGTTATTGTTAACTATTGTGCATTCGTGCTATAAATTGATATTTTATTCAAATATAAATATTTCATTTTTTAATTTCTTTTGTTTAGGATTGGGAGAGAGAGGGAGTATTAAACAGTCTGTGGTTCTCAGCCTCAAATGAAATATTATAATTTATAATATTGTTCTTTCCTGGCTATTGAACACCCACGCGTATTAACCTGCAATAGAAACCTAAATAATAATAATTATTAATATGTGTCTACATTTTGTTTGATTTTTTTTATACTGATGTTTTAACACCCGAATACATTCAGACCCAAAAAACTCGAATTACTCGAAAAACTTGAATTAATAATTTAGATGCAAAGCCCTGATTATAACATCATACAAATGTTATAATAAAGTTGGATTTTATTATCTTAATGAATTTAATTTATGAAATGATAACAAATCATTATCGTTAGATAATATATTTTATTGTAGGTTTATTATTTTAATTTTAACTCTTAAAAATAATTATAAATATATATATTTTTATAAACAATACAATAAAATTAATCTCAATTGTTTGCATTTCTTAAAAGTTAGTCCGATAGTTGTCACTTGTCTTCATGGATTTTCTATACATCTAGAGAAATTTTAATCAAAACGTCGAAATTCCTAATATGTTTCGAAAAGATTTGAATATAGATACTTGATTCTAATCAAAAATTAAGCTTTGCTTGTTTTCATTTTTAAATATATCGTTTAAAGAACAAACAATTATAAATGTATAATTTAAAATACCTACATTTATCTATCATATAAAATTACTTCCTTCTTTCTCCATAAATATAACATAAAATTGGTTTTGGAATATAATTTTAAAATATTTAAAGTATAGATACATATATAGGAATGTTAATAGCGTAGTAACCTTTATATAAATAAAAGTAGTATATAAGTTCAATAAATAATACTGTCTAGTTTATAAGACATGTGAAATCATTAGATCAGTAATATAAAATATTATTATGAATATTATTTTTTATGGTACTATACTTTATATTGTTGTACAATGTACATATTAGGTGGGTATATTAAATTAGTTATTTAATTTAAATTATACGACTATTAAAGTTTATTCATAAAATACTAGTTAGGTACTGAATTATTAAAATGAGCGTTGCAAAATGAGAGTTATGTTTTCAAATCTCCAATGAAAATTATAATAATAAGAAGAATAAATATTTACTGATTTTATATTCAGATGGATGTACAAACGTACAAAACAGAAGAGCGTAAAATCAAACAACTCAAAAATGCCAAAGTTGCAAAAATGATTTAACTCTAAAGGTTCACTTCACAATGGATACCCGCAA